TGTGCAGTTTTTGATAAAATTTTTCTGTGAAAGATTCTTAACTGGAAATTGGAAGGGAAAACAAGAAGAAACAATGTAATGTAGTGGTGGAAACAAAATTCTCACGATGAATAGCAGTCTTTCCGGATTCTTTGACATGGATTTCCTCATTGTGAATGGCGGCTCTCCTGAACTAGCAGGGAGTGTGAATCTCCATTTGAGGAAGGGGAAGAAGAGTGTGGAGGGTGAGGGCCTCCCCCTGAGAGAGCCAGTTGTGTTCATGATTTTGGTTCCTTCTTCCTCCTCATTAAGCAGCTGCCCAGGAGCCCAGGAGCCAGGGCTTAGCTTCCTGGCTATTTTCATCTCTTCTTAGTGAGGATCAGCATTGCCAGCCCACTGAGCCCAGTAGGGTCACCCCTCCCCACTGGGAATTGCACCCCCCGCCCCCTGCCAGAGCTCCCTGCAGGAACCAGCTGCCTCTAGTTGGAGACACTGAGTAAAGGCAGAAGGGTCCCTCCTTTCTGGGGTGCCCTGTGCTAGTGTTGGGCAGCTCTAAGGTTGGAAACTGCTTTCCCCACTGAGCTGAAGGCTGCCTCCTGGGATATGCACCCAGTGGTCCCCATTCGGCCCTGGGAGCCACTCACATCAAGTCTGGCTGTATCCCAAGGGTGACCAGGAGAGCCCTGTGAGTGGCAGTTCCCCTCCTGGAACACTGCCTCACCAGCTCATCACCCCAGTCCTGTGGACTGCTCCTCCCTCGCCTGGTTTCTATGCGGACCCACCATCCTTGCCCTCCTGGACCCCTAAACTGGCCCACGTGCTTTGTTGTAGAATGGCGGCCAGGACTGGACATGTGGTTTGATTGCTAAGGACCCAGCAGAGGCTCATTGCGCGGTAGACTCTGTATTTTATCGTGTGTGTGTGTGTGTGTGTGTGTATTATACACACACACATACAAGATATATACATAGTAAGTGGACACTGTGTATATATATCTATATGCATATATATGTACACATATGTACACACACTGTATGTATATACATACATATATGTATTATATATGTATACATATATATGTATATATGTATTAAGTGGACACTGTACTTCTGATGTGGATAAGGTGATGAACCTAAAAAGTCACACTATTCTATGGCATTATGTTTAGATGGAGCAAAGTGACTAAATATTGCCTTAACAATCCTGAAACTCCAGATCTTCAATTTACCCTGAACACTGTACGCAATTGTTCTGGGCCCATCTTTATAATCTATTGAAATAACAGGGACTGTGTCCCCTGCTTCCATCCACTGTTCATCCCTTTTGTGTTCTACCCACTGGGAGGGAGTTCTCAAGGGGGAAGCTAGAAGTAGTTTTAAAAAGACAGGAAAGCCTAGAGAAAGAACCAACCAAAAAGCAAAAAATGCTCATCTGCCCAGTTAGGGTGTTTTTTCCTACCACGACTCTTGCCAAAATTTGGCTGTTTCTTAGTGGAGGAAGGTGGACATGAGAATTGAGCTGGGAACAAGGAACCCTCACATGGATCGTCAGGCTGGAGGAGGAGGTGGGCACCATACTTCCTTTGAGAAAACAGAAGCAAGTATAGGACACTGTGGAAGTGAAAGGAATAAACTTACTCATGTTTAGGAGCTAGAGCCTTCCTTTTGGCTTGGGCATGACCTCTTGGATAGCTGGGAACACTGTCCCTGCTCATGTTTGGGGCGTGCTCCCCAGATAAACACATGCATACCTGGCTCTCAGGGCGAGCTGCAGGTTGGCAAGTCCTGGTCAAACGCAGTGTGACTGCAGCCTCTCGAGGAGGCTCAGACTCTTGTGTTTGCAGGGATGTGCTAAGCCAGATGCATGTGATGGCTGCCAAGCAAGGTGGAGCATCCGGGGGCTGCTAGGTCCAGCAGCAACACCGACTGCCACCTCCCCCACATGGGGTCTCGGCCCCTGGCTGGAGCCTTCCTTCGGTGGAGAATCAGCCTGCTCTGTGCCCCCCATGGGCTTCAGTCATGGCACCCTCAAGGGCACAGATCACGTTGGGGTAACGTGTGCCTAGTTCTTAGCACAACGCCTGGCCTGTAGCAGTTCAGAAGTAGTAGTGGCTGAGAGCCAGGAAGCCCTGGAGCAGACGGAGTGAGGGTCAACCTGGCTGCATACTCTGTAGTCACCACGGCTCTCGGAGCGTCACGTTCCCATCACAAAAGGGGGACCGATGATTCTCAACTCCCAGGACAATGCTGAGCACTCAGCAAAGTAACCATACAGGGAGACATGACCTGCTGGAACAGAAACCCTCCTTGCGCACTAACCATCACCCTTTAGTCCAGCGAGGCTTGGGTGAAGATGGCAGAAGAACGAATGAAAGACTAGCGAGATGCACCAAGAACAGAGGTGCACTCTCCCGGGGGGACCCTTGGGGAGGGGAGGGCCGAGGCCGATTTCTCTGTTGGGCTCAGCCTCACCCTTCACTCGTTCACTCCTCACTGAACTTCCTTGGCCACAAGATGCCCCTCCCACCTGAGGAAGCCAGGAGGCTTGACGTGCGAGTGAAGCCGCACACACTCTTCCATCGCCTTCCTAGGTCTCTCATACAAGCCCAGGTTCTCCCCCCTGTTTCTGTTTTCATCTCCAAATACATGCACAAAAGGTCAAGCTTCCAAGCAACTAAGGAAAAAAACTGAAAAATGGTATCTGCTCATAGAGTAGCTAGTGAGATGGAGTGCACAATCAAAACTGCGGCGGGAGTCTCCTTGTTAAGACCTGAACGTGGGTATACACGGAAGGGTGCAGGTGCCCCACCCCCACAGAACACAGTTCACACACAGCCGCCACCAGCGCCAGCACCACCGTCCTACACTCAGAGAGACTGCCCGGCCACCACCAGACAGAGGTCAGAGCTAGGAGAATGTGCCTGGGCTGCTGGAGAACTGGGCTGTGGACTGGGCACGCCAGGGAGGGAGGGACACACAGATGGCTAAATGGCAGCGAGCTGCAGGGCCAGAGGGCTTGCTCACTCTCCGGTGCTATTTTACGGCAACAGCTCTAAGTGACACTTTGGTACCTGATACTCTTTAGTTCTTATTGGGAGAGAATGACATACCTGCAAAGAAGGCTGAGAAATACTCTCGAAGATGAGACACACAGAAGCCACAAAGAAAAAGGGATTAAGTGATGGAGTCAAAAGTGAGAAGCCTCAGTTATGTTCCTGATAAGGACGGAAGGTGTTTGGGTAGACAGCCAAGCCCGCATTGATTGACACAGGGCCGTAATGGGAGAGATTTCTTCACAGAACTGTTTCCCAAAGGGCTGCAGAGGCCACCGGTGAGGCGAGGGCACTGGGGCACTTTCCCTGGCCACTACCTTGTGAACCTCTGGGGACTTCTTTCATTTGGTACCCCACTACACAAGGCTAAGGCTTTCCACCGCCAAGGCTTGGCAAACCCTTGCTTAAGGAAGAGGGATCAGAACCACAAAGCTGGCATGTGGGTGAAGACAGTGCCTCTGGCCTAGATCCCAGGGCACTCTGATGAGACCCATAGTTGACTCCACTCCCCACCCCATCCCACTCTCCCCATGCTGCGAGCTGGGGCCGTCTGGGTGAGGAAAGTGCTGTGGTTCTGGCTCAGGGTCTGGCGCAGCCAAGGACTCTCGGTGTCCAAATGCCCCCCAGGATGGTGGCTCCCTACCAGGCGAACTTTAGCTTCAGTCGTTGTTAAGGTCCAAAACACCTGCCTCCATCTAGGATGAGAAAAGGACACAGGTGGAGGGTGATGTCCCAGAGCTCATAATGAGTGTTTACAGTATTTGGATCAGCAGAGAGGATTGGATATGGAAAGGAGAAAAATTCCCTAGAAAGGTGTCAGGTAAGTCAGGGATAAAATTCCCCGTCCTCGTGATGAATCGGGACAGCCAGTGCCCACAGCAGTTAGGACGCAGCCTCCTGCATCAGGCAAACCCAGGACTGCTTACCTAGGTGAGCCACTGCACCTCTCCACCTGGGCGTGGTGACAGTCCATGCCTAACCCACAGGGATCCCTGTGAGGAGTAAGGCTCTGGGGCAGAGGGGCCACCCCAAGCCGCCTGGAAGTGTGCCTGCTTGTTAGCCACCACTGTCACACCCTTCATTCCAACACAGCACCCTCGAGGGTGCAGGAGACAGATCTGGGAGGCACCACACCCAAGGTCACCTTTCTCCCTGATCAGTGTGTCATTGACTTGTTCTCGCCCCAATCCCAGGCCAGTGGGGAGAAGGTTTTTTGCCATGAATGCAGACTGGAGGAGAATGTGGAGTGGGCTTGTGGAGTGGCAGGTCCCCATGGTCCTTCCGGGCCTGCCCGGCTTCCTCTCAGCCTGATGCTTGGCGACCCCCCTCACTGTTGGGGGCTGAGCCTGGGTCCCTGGGGAGGATGGTGACACATGGGCCACACAGGAAGGATTCAGAACCTTCCAGGCTCTGTCCTGGGGGCCTGCGATCTTCTTGCCTCTTGTACGCTGCAGAGTTAACTCAATTTTGGTGACCAGGCCTGGACTGATCTAGTCAGTAAACTGGATGCATTTGCTCAGAATGACCCGGCCACCAAGACTTTCCATATGACTTGCCTGACTTTTGAAAGATGACCCTAGTATAATGTCCCATGGACCACAGGAAGACATTGTTCAAACTCAAGGCTTTTTTTTTTTTTTTTTTTTTGAGAGGGAGTCTCACTCTGTCACCCAGGTTGGAGTGCAGTGGCATGATCCTGGCTCACTGCAACCTTCACCTCCCGGGCTCAAGAGATCCTCCCACCTCAGTCTCCCAAGTAGCTGGGACTACAGGTGCTCACCACCACGCCCAGCTAATTTTTGTATTTTTAGTAGAAATGAGGTTTCACCATATTGGCCAGGCTGGTCTCGATCTCCTGAGCTTGTGATCTGCCCGCCTTGGTCTCCCAAAGTGCTGGGATTACAGGCGTGAGCCACCGCACCCTGCCTGTTCCCTGACCTTTTAAACAAATTCACGTATTAACAGAGAATCAACATCTAAATAGACTTTTATTTTTATTTTACTTGTTTGGACAGAAAAGAAAATTCATCGGCTTTCATTAGAGTCTCCTTAAGTGTTGGAAACACATTAAACTCAGAAATAGTGGACCTTGTAGAAAAGCATCACAAATTAAAAATATATTTCTCCATGTGGTAAAAGTGCTTTCAATCCAATTAAAGGGCACGGCAAGGGTGTTTGGAAACACAATCTAAAATTTGGCCTGCAATCCGTGGCATCGAATTCCAACCACAGGGTGGGGGAGTCACCGTGATCTAGAGCACAGGAACCACGTGGGGCCCGGAGCATGCGGACAGCAACACTCGCAGTAACTGAGTGAGGACGAGGAACAGAGTCCCAAAGCCTGAGTAGAATAGATTCTGCATTTGTAAAAAATGAGGTGGTTACATAAACTGGGTTGAAAGGGGACCAGGTAATCCCAGAAATTCCTTGTTTCTGGTCTGTGGGGACGGTCAGATCCGCCCACCACTCTGGCACTGAGGCTTCCCCGGAGACACATAAACCTGGGTTGGGAAAGAGCCCAGATCTGCCTGGGGACACGCGAGCCTCGCTGACAGCGTTGGGCATGCAGCCTCTCCAGTCCCGCGGTCAGCAACCGCCTCCGGCCCTCGTGTCAAATCACACCTGACCAGGGTTGTCACCACAGTCCCGTTTTGGGGATTTTCAAAGGCCAGCCCTGTTGTTCTGAGGGGCCACTCTGAGAAGGCAAACAGGGTCACTCACTACACACGGAGGAAAGACAATGAGCAAATGGCCATCGCAGAGAATTCGGTTGTGTGTTTCAGCAATGCTACATATTTTTCAAGACAAGTAATTCTGCCAATGATGACATCTGCGACAAAGCTTAGGGCCCACGGGCTCCCCATGGGCCTGGTGGAGAGCAACCACGTCTGTTCGGAAGCCAGCGGCCCTTCCCGGCCCTGCCACAGGCCAGAACACAGAACTGTGGTCATGCAAGGAGCCGTGACTGAGGCCGGGGTTGGCGAGGGGGGTGGAGAGGAGGGGACATCTGCCTTTTACATTAGATCTGAAGCAACAGTAAGAAAATAACCTGAAGATATATTTAAAAATAAAAAATAGCATCACCCTTCACTCCAATTTTTTGGCGTTTCCCTTTCTCCCCTGCCCACCAGCTAAGCAGAGGGAATGAGCAGGAATGCCTCATTTTTCAGAATGGGCACCCACTCCCCATTTCACTACTGCACACCCAGGATGCGTGACTTCTTCTAAGAGACCGGCTCAAAGGTGCTCACATGAGGCCAGTGCTGGAAAACTCCCCGGCCTCCCCCGACACCCAAGCCACTGTAACCAAGCAGGGCGTCTTTGCTTCCTTCAAGTCATGAACTTGAATCACGTCCCAGACGACTGTAGATCTTTAGGAAGCAGACGCCTCTCTTAGAGCATGCTCCAGCTCATTCTACCACAGGGCCTTCCTTCGCAGTCACAGTCCACGTTGCCTCCCAAGCTCCACGGATATCAGGAGAGAATCTGCCCTTGAGAACTTGGGTGTAGGTGCTCACCACGCTGGCGGCACTGTTTCCCGAGGGAGGATGTGCTCTTCTTGGAATGCAAATAAGGATAGCAACCGTCCTCTGATCAGGTCCGTCCTGTCCCTCCAGAGGCCCTGTGCATCCCTCCCAGGCAGCGAACCACACACCAGGCCATCTCCGGGTCTCTGATGGGCAAGTTGGAACGGCAGGCTCTCCTCCCCCTCTCACCCCTCCCCTGACCGAGTCCTGCATCCCCAGCATCAGTGGGTCGGAGAGGCGTCCTCCAAGCCCAGCAGCTCTCTGACGAGTCTCTCCCCGAACTGCGCCCGGCTGTACCTCTTCACGTGGTAGGCGTCTGACATTTTGTACAGGATGTAGGCATTGTTGATGGCGATGCTGATGGCGAACCAGAACACCTGCTGCCAGGTCTTGTTTGGTTTATGAGAAATGAAATACCTGAAGACAGAGGGGATAAGAACAGCTGACCTGATGGTTCATGGCCCCCGGAGATGCATCCCAAACGCCCCCCTCAGCACGGCCCGTGCGACGCTGCAGGCTCGCCCCCGACAGAAGCAGGAGGGCTGTGGGGGCAGGAGTCAGGCTTGGGATATTAGGTGAGCTCTGGCTGGGGGCTTTGTCACAATAAACTTCACTTAAGACCAAGGAAGTGAAAAACAACAAGGTTGCTGGAGGAGAACCCGAAAGCCAGGTGCCAGGTGTGCTGGGGTGGTGCACAGCCCCGGAGTGGACAGGCACCTGGCAGCCCCTCCAGCTTCCCTGCTTGCTGAATGCTCCTTGCAAGGCTGTGTGTCCTGTGCAGCTGCCACTCCCTCGAGGCCAAGCTCTTCCTCAGCTCCAGGCCCCTGCAGGGTGTACCCTGTTCCCGAGTGTACCTTTGCCATCCCTGCAGATGGAAGTACAGAGGTCGCCCCTCTGGGAAGCCCACCTGGACCCTGAGGACACTGGCCTCCTTGGGAGCACCAGCCTCAGGCCTCACTCACTGCACTGTCTTCTCCATTTGTGAGTTTGCCTCAGCACCGTGTATAAAGTATGGGAGGATCAGTGCCCTCAGTATCTCACTATGACTGAAATGCCCAGCACACAGCAGGCACCACAGACATCTACTCCACAAATGCCAGCTGTTGTAGAACAACCTCATAGAACACAGGAAGGTGCCGGTACATAGTAGGTGCTCAGTGAACTAAATGCCAATGTCTTTGTAACAACCTCACGGAATTTAGCAAGGTGCTGAGCACATAGTAGGCGTTCAACAAAGGTTTGTTTGATGAATCACTAAGGAGTGGGGCTACCTTTCACACACAGGGTGTTTTCCAGAGAGAACCGGGTCCTTGTTTTTCCCTCTTTATCATGAAAAAGGCCAGGAAGCATAGGTTACCCTCAAAGAGGGTTCAGTCAATATCCGATTTTGAGTTAGTCCAACCCTGTTCTAAGTGGTAAGGCTCAATCCCAGTGATTTAATACTTTTAATGTTCAACAGCTATCATTTTTTGAGTTCCCATGATGGTGGCTATAATGGCACCAGGTCGGAGGTGGCATCATGGGTGTCTGGACGTCTGCACATTGTGGATCTTGTCTATGCTGTGTGTAAACTATGCATACTATGTGTATACTGAACATGAGACCACATCTGGTGATCTAAACAGGCATCCATATTTGAGAAAATTAAGGCACCCATGCTAGAAGATATGTGACTTGGGGTAGAAGTGCCCGAGCTGATACCCAGTGTGTTAGGGGTGTGGGGGAGGACAGCAATTCAGGACAGAGGACTGGGGCAAGCGATGCCAATGGCTGGGGTCTGAGCTCACTGCTGAGGGACAGCTCGGTTCAGGTAAGCAAAGGGAAGGGTGCCTCTGGGCACAGGGAATGTGAACCTGGCATTGGGAGAGCGGAGGACGCAGAGTACCTGGGCAGGGGACTTCCACGTAAGGCCAGGTGTGCACAGGTGAGGCCAGAAGCCCAGACTGAGGGCAGGATCTTACCTCCCAGGGTCTTCGTCCTGCAGTTCTTACACTGCAGAAACTAGTGATCATCTGCCAAGACATCTATGCCGAGATGGCACAATTACGAGAGTCCTTCTGTGATGGAGGCACCCGGCCACTTACTTGCTGTATTTGTCATCGTATCTGCAGATGTAGCTCAGGTGAGCGGCAAACGCCTCCACGGCCAAGGGGCATGGGATCTCCCCACTCTTCCTTTTGATGATGACTCCTGAAGGCGAGAGACAAGATAAGCCCCTTCCTCAGCACCTCCTCCTAATGCCAATTTATAAATGTGCCTATCTTCATTCAGCTTAGCTGCCCCCGACTTAATAATGAGCAGATGAGGAGGATGGCGAGGAGGAGAAGCGGAGGGAGAGTTGAAGAAGAACAATCAGCACCAACCATCAGGTGCTTCAGAGGAGTTGAGGAAAGCATCAGAGTCAGGTGAGTGCCATGGTATGTGCCAGCCCAGACACAGCAGCCCAAGTCATGGGGGTTTGCAGGCCTGCAGGACCCTGGCAGGCCTGAAGGGGCTCTAAGCAGCACGGGGAAGGGTGATGCACCAGACTGGGCCTTGAAAGAGTGAAAGCGGCGACAGGACTCACTCTTCCCTTCCTCCCCCTTCTGCCAGGCTGGGTGAGGGGTGCTGGGAAGAAGAGGTGGTGGATGAGGTCAGAGAGCACCACGGAGCCCTTTCCACCTGCCTTCATCAAAGCCAAAGGGTGTCGGCAACTCGTCGCCCCACATAGGGTGACTGCAGAGTCATCCCACACAGAGCACTAGACCTCACTCCTCCTAAGTTGTGGTTCTGCATCCTTCGACAAATCTCCCAATAAGTGTGTGAGATGATGGATATGCTAATTACCCTGATCTGATCACCATACATTATATGTATCAAAACATCACTATGTGCCCCATGAAAATGTACAATTATTGTTTGTCAATTTAAAAAAGAAAAGGAGGCTGGGCACAGTGGCTCACGCCTGTAATCCCAGCACTTTGGGAGGCTGAAGCGGGCGGATCACCTGAGGCCAGAAGATTAGCCTGGCCAACATGGCAAAACCCCATCTCTACTAAAAATACAAAAATTAACTGGGCATGGTGGCGGGTGCCTGTAATTCCAGCTACTTAGGAGGCTGAGGCAGGAGAATCGCTTGAACCTGGGAGGCGGAAGTTGCCGTTTGCTGAGATTGCTGCCACTGTACTCCAGCCTGGGTGACAAGAGCGAAACTCTGTCTCAAAATGAAATAAAAAATAAAAAAGCAAAAGGGTGGAATTATTATCATTATTTTTTGAGATATGAGGTCTTGCTCTATCACTTAGGCTGAAGTGCAGTGTCATGATCACAGCTCACTGCAGCCTCAAATTCCTGGGCTCAAGGGATACTCCCACCTCAGCCACCCGAAGAGCTGGGACCACAGGTATGTGCCACCAAGCCCAGCTAATTAAAACAATTTTTTAAATAGAGACCCACCATGTTGCCTAGGCTGGTCTCAAACTCCTGGCCTTACGTGATCCTCTGCCTGGGCCTCCCAAAATTCTGGGATTACACGTGCGAGCCTCCATGCTCAGCCAAAAGGAATTAGAGGCTCAGAAGCAGGAGGCAGCTGCCCTTTCCAACCCTCCCATCCCCCAGCTCCATCCTTTCATGCCTCCTCGAACTTTGGGGGCCCTACACCCTCAAACACCTTTTCCTCTACTAAGTACAGCTGGGAGTGTATCCCAGGGGCACCGGGAAGGTCACGGCAAGATGAACAAATCCCACTGGCAGGGCCTGAGAAGCACACGGAGACCCATGAGCCCTCCCTGCCCCGCTGCCAAGCCACTACAGGCCATTCTGGCTTCCAAGGCCTGCCGTATGCGCCACCCACCGCAGACAACGTGGAAGATGGGAAGGACACATTCTTCCACACAGCCGTGGCCATTCAAAGGTGGCTGGAGTTCACCTACTGTTTCCTTGAACTGGCCCTCCCTCACAGCAGCAAGGGACTATGGGCACAGTGCCATTTTTCTGTATTTCTTTTTTAAGGGATTAGCTCACAGGATTGTGAAATTTCAGCAATACTTAAATGGACACGGTCAAAGTAAAACGGGCACGTCCTTTGCAGGTCCACCGGAGCTTCGTCTGGGTCCAGCCTCCTCCCGCCCCCAACAACTCTCACTGAGGGACCGTGGCTAAGGAGACCAGGGTCATGCACATCTGCAGATATACACTGAGCCGGGCTCTTTCCTTCTTTCCTCAGAAACAGCAGCATTTCACACGGAAGAAACACTGGCCAGCTTGTGGGAACCTGAGCTGTCAGGCCTGCCCCAGAGATGCAGGACCGGGGAAGCGGCCCCGACAACGCATTTCCTAAAGCTCTCCAAGGGCCAGAAAACCACGGCGGCCCCCACGCTGGAGCTTTCTCTGGGCAGAAAGACGATGGCCTCCTTTGCTTGCTTACGGAGCCCCTCCTCCTGAGAGATGTTCTGCTGTCAGGGGCCCGCAGTGGGGGGTTCTCCAGGGCTCAGCGTGCCAGGCTCGAGGGAGGGCATGTGAGCCTGCAGTGCCTGAGAACTGCCGTCTCTCTCTCCAATGCCCCTCCTGAGGGTTCCTGTCCTGGCCCCTTATTTCAGCTGCATCTGCCTCCAAGACCGAGTGGGAGGAACCCCTTTTCACACACGGGGCCCCAGCACGTGGCCCGTGCAGGTCTCCCATCTCCAGCTACGTTTTGATTTGCCTGACCTCCAGTGACAACCTTCTCTGGGTCTCAGGAGCTCTGGCCCCTTTAGGGTTCCACGTGGATGTGAGCAGGTGACCATCCCTTTTTTTTTTTTTTTTTTTTGAGACGGAGTCTTGCTCTGTCGCCCAGGCTGGAGTGCAGTGGCAGGATCTCAGCTCACTGCAAGCTCCCCCTCCCGGGTTCACGCCATTCTCCTGCCTCAGCCTCCCGAGTAGCTGGGACTACAGGCGCCCGTCACCTCGCCCGGCTAGTTTTTTGTATTTTTTAGTAGAGATGGGGTTTCACCATGTTAGCCAGGATGGTCTCGATCTCCTGACCTTGTGATCCACCCGTCTCGGCCTCCCAAAGTGCTGGGATTACAGGTTTGAGCCACCGCGCCCGGCCGACCATCCCTATAAAGAAACGGAAATCCCCTCAGTTCCTTTCCCAGGACTTCCGGATGCCCCGCTCTGAGTCATTAGTGTCTCTGGTGAGTCAGTCAGGGCTGCGCTCTGAAGATTCTCAGGGCCTCCCACAGCCCCGTCCGCATAGCCACCGACCTTGCAGCTTTTCACCTCCTGATTTCAGCCCAATAAGAGCTGAGGCTCCTGGACTACCACTGTCCCAATCTGCCTCACCACGGGACACGGGAGACCATCTTTAACTCTTCATTTCTTTCCCATCCTTTTTCATCACTTTAAATTTAACATGGGGGTTTCAGCTTGAAGCTGAGCTATTTCCACACCAGATCTGCTTCCTCTCCTTGAGCATTTCCCCAGTTTATAAACCAGATCACCCTCCTCTCTCCCCATGATATTTTGGATTCTCAGATAGTACCCCAGCTGAAAAAGGCAAGGCAGCTGTCCTGTGACACCTTCTGATTGCTAACATTGGCAACATTAGCAAGAGGGAATCTGATAGTGACTGTCTTGACTGAGTGAATCACTGAGAATGGGGTGTACATCACGCACGACTTCGTGGTGGACGCTGTTTTCAATGCTATATGGGTCTGCACACATGTCTGTCTTCTCCGTGTCTGTCTCTGTGATGCTCAAGATCCACATGGCCCTGTCTTCCCATCTAACAGCTGTTCTGTCTTAACACCTTCCTCGGCTGTTAGTGGTTTGACTGACATTCCTGCTACCCTTCTGCAAATTTAAGTGAATGAATCAAGACCTGACTCATTCATATACAGACATTCTGCATTCTCATTAGTCTTAGTGAATCTGAATCCTAAATGGGCAGACTCCAGGAGGAAGATGACAGACCCAAGGTGGATTTCGGAAGAAAAGCAAAAGGGTTTGGCTTACAATGTGAATACCCCTTGACATGTGACAGCATTTAACGTTTTTTATTTTATTGAGACAGTCTCACTCCGTTGCTCAGACTGAAGTGCAGTGTCATGATCTCGGCTCACTGCAACCTCTACCTCCTGGGCTCAAGTGATCCTCCTGCCTCAGTGCCCCACCAACACTCTCCCCCGCTCACTGAGTAGCTGAGACTACTACAGCTATGCCATGCCCAGCTAATTTTTTTTGGGGGGGGGTATTTTTTGTAGAGATGGGGTTCTGCCATGTTGCCCAGACTGGTCTCAAACTCCTGGACTCAAGTGATCCTCCCAACTTGGCCTCCAAAAATGCTGGGATTACAGATGTGAGCCATTGTGCCCAGCCTGCATTTAACTTTTTAAAAAGCCTGTGCAGGCCGGGCACGGTGGCTCACGCGTGTAATCCCAGCAGTTTGAGAGGCTGAGGCCGGCGGATCATGAGGTCAGGAGATCGAGACCATTCTGGCTAACATGATGAAACCCCGTCTCTACTAAAAATAAAAAAAATTAGCCGCGCATGGTGGCGGGCGCCTGTAGTCCCAGCTACTTGGGAGGTTGAGGCAGGAGAATGGCTCGAACCTGGGGGGTGGAGCTTGCAGTGAGCCGAGATCACACCACTGCACTCCAGCTTGGGCAACAGAGGGAGACTCCATCTCAAAAAATAAAATAAAATAAAGGAATAAAAAGCCTGTGTATATGCTCACACTCTGTGACAAAAAGATTCATGTTTCCTTAGAATCTGGAGTAAAAAATAATAAACCAATTCCTAAAATGTTCATACCTAGTTACATATTTCCTAAAATTGGAAATTCTGCTCAACTTCAACCAGAGTATATATGGTCATAATAGAACAGAATATAACATAGAGCTGAGAAGCAGTCTTTAGAATATATGATGTTTCAGTTTATCATCTGAGATACATATATACATATTTGAGACAGAGTCTTGCTCTGTGGGCCAGGCTGGAGCACAGTGGCGCAATCTTGGATCACTGCAACCTCCGTCTCCCGGGTTCAAGCGATTCTCCTGCCTCAGCCTCCCGAGTAGCTGGGATTATAGGCATGAGTCACTGCACCTGGCCCTGAGTGAGATTTAAAATAAATAGGAAAAGGATGAATTATTCAATAAATGGTTTAGGCACAGAGGTGCAGCTGCTGGGTCAATCCACCCTGGCCACTTAACAACAACAACGAAATAGTAGAGGCCCACTTGAGGTCATGCGTCAAAATAAATTTGAAGTGGATTATGGTAAAGAGCACAAAATTATACCATAAAACAGCCAGGTGAACTTATACTTATCTGGCCTTGGGACAGAGGAGAGACCTAAAGCATGAGAGCAGAGAAGAAATCAACAGATCCGCCTATGGAGAAATGAAAACTACTTTTATGTTAAATAACACTAATCATAAATAAAAACAACAGGAAATGAAATACAGACAACAATGTCCAATAGGCAGAAAACTTCCTTTCAAGTAAATGAGAACATGACAAATATCTCAAAAGGAAAACTGTAAGGAACATAAAGAAACCACTCGAAATTAGCCAATCAACACATGGAGAAATGTGTAACCTCTCCAGCAATAAGAGTGATTGATATTTAAAATCTGGGGGCATCTTCACCCATCAGAATGACAAATACAGAATAAAAAAGTAGTGCTGGTAAAGCTGGAGGCACACCCTGTGCCCACTGCGATGGTACAGAAGTACAGCCTGTACTTCACCAGCAACCTTGAACACATCACCAGAAACCTTGACGTCGGTCCCACCCTTTGACCCAGCACTTCCGCTTTTGGATTTACCCTGAGGAAGTGATGAAAGATGTGCCCAAATGTTTATGTATGAAGACATCACTGTATCATTATTAATACTGTGAAAAAGTGGATCACTGATAGGGACACTGGCTGAAGAAATTATGGCACACCCGAAGGGAAGGAGTACCAGGTACAGAAGATGATCTCTCTTCATGAGAAAAAGAACTCTAAGATGTGAACCCCAAAACAGATTTCCTGGGGAGGAGCAGCTACGAACTTTACCTTCCCCCGGGCAATTTCCCGCTCATTTCAGCTACACCCAGGTCTGTGCCCACCTGAAGCACCCACCTGAAGTGCTCACTGAGCAAGTGTGAACTTCCCCGGAGTGCTTTCCAGAGGTACCAGGCGAGGGGACAAGGGCCCCCAGAGGTGGGGAGGGAGGCTACAGTGATGCTGTGGTCATACTCTTTGGGATTTTTAAGGGATGCTAGGATTCTGAACTTTATGATGTAAAATAGAATACTTTGGATCTAGAAATTGTAAGTACACTAAACACAACACTAAATTACAACAGATTTAAAAATCAATTCCCCCATCAATATCCTCCTTACATGTTCCTTTGGTGTCTGCTTTAAGAGCTCCAACCCTTAAAATTAGGCTTTTAACATTTGTCATCTTAAATCCTGGATAGGATTTTGAACGTCTCCAGCTGCATTCTTCTCTCTTCATTATCTCCTTTCACTGAGCCCACATGCATGTGATGTCCTGCCCTGAGACACCTTTTCAGAGGCCATCACTTAAAATAATTTGGTGGGGCTGGACATGGTGGCTCATGCCTGTAAACCCAGCACTTTGGGAGGCTGAGGCTAGAGGATCGCTTGAGACCAGGAGTTTGAAACCAGCCTGGGCAACATAGTGAGACCTTGTCTCTACAAAAAATATTAAAAAAATTAGCCGGGCACAGTGGTATGCACCTGTAGTCCAAGATACTCGGGAGGCTGAGGTGGGAGGTTGGTTTGTGCTCAGGAATTCAAGGCAGAAATGCGCTATGATAGCACCACTGCACTCCAGCCTGGGCGACAGAGCAACACCTTGTCCCTAAAATAAATAAATAAACAAAATAATTTGGTGGGAGGCAGTTCCTGCCCCTGACTCTCACACTTGTTCCCTGGAAATTCCCTTGCCCAGAACCAAGACCCTAATCACGGGAGTCTGGAAGTTCAACCCAAACTCTAGCCTTCAGCTTGCAAGGCCAATTCCAAGCCTTTCTTTTTCTTCTTCATCTCTGCTCTTCTTCCTCTACTTCCTCTTCCTCTTTCTTCTTCTTTCTTCCTCCTCCTTTATTTTTTTTTTTTTCTGGGTAGATGGGGGTCTTTCTATGTTGCCCAGGCAGGCTTTGAACCTCTTGGCTCAAGTAATGTCCTGCCACAGCCCCTTGAGTAGCTGGGACTCCAGGTGGGTGCCACCATGCCTGGCTCAAACCTTTCTTCAACTGATCCTATACACAGCACTCAAGAGCACAGCTCCCTGCAGCCTTCTACACCCAAATCGAGTACTGACACCCATCTGCTGGGGTCCCTCGATTGCAATCTCCACTGAGGCATGATGCAACTTAAGTTGGCGGGAGGTGAAGGATGGGAGTAAACTAGCAACATACATTAAACATAGATGCACAAACTGCACCGCAGAAACATACACACCACACACACCACACACACACATACCATACCCATAACATAGACGTGCACATGTATATACACACCAAACATACAGACTGCACATACCACACCATGCAAACATATACACACCACACCACACATACAGACCACACACACACCATACCCATAACATAGACATGCACGTGTATACACACACCACACATACAGACTACACACACACCATGCAAACATATACACACCACACCATACAGACCACACACACACCATGCCCATAACATAGACAAACACGTGTATACACACACCAACATACAGACCACACACACCATGCAAACTTACACAGCACACACCACACAAACAATACACACACTACACCTACCATACTACACATACCATACCACATACACACTCCACACCACAGTACACCACACCAATATATACACACACACCACACCCACCATACTACAAATACATATCACATACATATTCCACACCACACAAACACACACACGTCACAGAAACATACATATCACATACTCTACACTGCATACAACACACCAATATGTACACACACCACACCCACCATACCACACATATCATACCACATACACACTCCACACCACAGTACACACCAATATATACACACACACCACACCCACATCACAAATGTGTATCACATACACACTCCACACCACACACAACATGCCAGGCAAGCTTACACTCCACACACACGTACATGGGAGAGCACAAATCCGCACACAACACCGGGCTCCTTGGCAGTGTCCCTTTACTAGTGAAGGGGAAAGAGGCCTTTCTTTTCGACCTCATTTGCTGTCACTTGTCTTGAGGACAGCCTCTGGGAAAGGCAGGGGAGGCTGCCCCCAAGCGCTGCGCGGCCGGGAACATTTCTGCCAGGGCCCCTTCGTCCTTTCAGTCCTTTCAGTGTTCTTTGCAGTGGTTTAGTGATGGTTTCACTGTACGTTACTTTAAGCATAGGCTCCTCGCTAAGTAAGTCCCTTTGTTATGAATGGATTTTAAATCCCGAGTAAAATCAATAAAGAAATCAGGGAACAGCAGACGGACCAGACGGCGCACATGCTTAACTTCTAAGGAGGACCTTGAAAGATAAGAATGGATTTTTTCCCTCCCATCAGAACAGATTTGTCACAGAATCCCAGACGATAAAGTGAAATGACATTCAAATGCAGCCCATTATCATACCCCGTGTACAACCTGCGGGCTTCCAGGGGCTGCTTGAGCCACCTGCAAACCCTGTCAGCCTGGCACCGCTCAATAGCTTACAACGAACGGGGAGCTCTTCCCTCGCTGCTTACCCGCTGCTTCCACGCAGCCGCCACACTTAGGAGCGTGGCCCCAGACGCTGGTGAATAACCGAGGGTAGTCTGGTCCCAGAGCAGCACAGCCCACAGCGGACGCCACATCCACCGCAGCGCTGGGCTCGGCCAAGCTCAACCAAACCCAGCGCGCCCTGCGGTGCCAATGGCGGACCGGCACTCACCCTGCTGCACCGGGGAGTAGGCGTTGGTCAGGAAGCGGAAATGTCCTTTGTTGTACCAGCAGATCAAGGACATGTTCCCCTTCATCTTGATTTGGTACTGGCCCCGGGCCGGGGGCGTGGCTGGGTTGGTCAGCATGGACAGTGGGAGGCCGGTGCAGTCACTCTTCCGCACGCTGAGCAAGCCGCAGCAGTAAATCCCTGGGGGGAGAGGGATGAAGGATCATACACTCACCATGGTCGGAGATGCCAGTGGCTCCTCCGCCCCGTGCACCCTCAAGGAAAGGATGGGACTGCCTGGTTCTGAGGCTGATGCTTGGGAGTCAGACCCTCTAGAGACCCCTCTAGAAGAGACTGCTGGAGTTTTGAGGTCTTGTATCCCTCTGTTGTCTCTCCCTGTGGTGATCTCCCCAGGTCCCTCCCTAAAAACATACAGTATGCTAAGACTGCGTGTAGGACCACAGCACAAGCAATACTGGCAGCAGCAGCAGGAGCTGTCACCTGGACCCTCGCTCAGTGTCCTGCACAGCACTATGCACGTGCACTCATCATCCCATCTACTTCAAGAAACTTCTGCACTCCATAGGTTATGGCACACACATTAGAGAAGAACTGAGGCTCGACAAGGGCGAGGCCCCCAGACTCACAGCTGGAACGGTAAAGACAGGCATGAAGCCCAGGACTGTCCAGCATCCTGGCCATGGTTACATCATCCTAATGGCGTCACCAAGACATGGCTGGCTGCAAGCCCAGTGCTGAGCCAGTCCACACCGCACCCCAGGAAGCTGTCAGATGGAGCCCTCATCTCCTTGGGGAGGTATATTCAATGTTAAGGAAAGAACCATCAAAGAATGTGAACTAAACCAAGTGACTTTCCATGAGTGGGTGGAGAGCTTCCTGAGAGAGCAGGAGCTTGCGCTTGGTCTCTAAGGCCTGGAAGATTGGCATGCGGTGGCTGGTGGGCAGTAGACACCGGTATGAACAACCGTCCACCGTGGACTTGCTCACTTCCATCCTGGACTCAAGGCCTTTCAGGTCCTTTCACATCATGGGCCCGCCCCACCCTGCTGGGCCAGAAGGCCACAGGGGCCACAAGCACTCAGCTGCTCCCCAGCAGCCTGGAGGGGACGCAGAGACCCTGGGAGCCATCTCAGCCTTTACTCTCTGCTCAGCTCCTGGAGGACTGACAGTGCCATCAGTCATCTGAACACATCCCATCTCCCATGCATCTGCTTTCCTCATCCCCGCATCCCACACTGCACCAGAAGAAGGACAGTTGAATGAATCTTTCCCTCTTCCAAACTCCTTTCCTGGTAGCAGGTGGGAAGGAAGATGCAACCGGAGGTGCTTTCGAGTCTCACTGCTGAAAAGAGGAGGGGTCTGCTGCTCGCAGCTCCATTCCTAGCAACCGCACATGACCACTCAAGCTACTCTCATCTTGAGATGTAAAAAGGAGAATCTGTTCTTAAAAACAGGGAGGAGGATGACATGAACAAGGGTAAGAGTGTCCGAAATCACCCATCTGGGGCTCAGTCTACACCACCAGCCAAAGAGAAGCTGCATGTTCGTAAGAGGGAAAGAAGAATATCCCAGCAGCACCCAAGTTTCCATGACTCCATCCCTTTACAAACACAGAAATTATTCTAGGAATGTCCTTTCTGGCTTTTATTTTACAACGGTCCGTGTGACCCTAGGAGGGACAACCAGACTCTCAGCTCCAATTCTTCTCCTCAACCTTGGCTGCCTGTGAGAGTCTCCCAGGGTGGGGGGACACTGGCCCCGACCAATGCGATTTGTGTCCTGAGGAGGCAGGGTGCAGCCACTAGTGACCTTCCCTGCGGATACGCTGGAGGACACTGCCCTCAGTCACAGTGAAGGAGGTACATGACGATGCCCTGGTGAAGAGCTCAGTCAGCTTAGACGCTTCTAAAAATAGGCAAGGAGATCTTTTTTATCTCTTACCTAATCTTCTCTTGAAAAAAATCCAAATTCCATATCTAAATATTTTCTTTCAGCTAGAAGATTCTTTCCCATCCTCCTCCTAATTCTCTGAGCCAAGACGCATCCCCTTCTCAGAACCACAGGAGCAGCACACCCAGCTCTTTGGGAATCATATTGATGGCCCGGGATAGTCCTCCGGCATCCGATGGCCTGGGATAGTCCTCCGGCATCCCCACTCCACCTTGTCTGCACGGCATCCACCCCACTCGACACAGGCACACATACACAGGTATACACACAGACACACACGCAGACACAGAGATGCACACACATACAGACACAGACACACACACACAGATACAGACACACACAGACACATACACACAGGTACATATACACACACCCAGACACAAACACAGACACACACAGACACAAACACAGACTCACACACAGACATTGACACACACAGATACAGACACAGGTACACAGACACACACAGACACAGACACACACACAGATACAAATACACGGATGCACACACACATACAGACACACACAGACACAAACACAGATGCACACACGGACACAGACACACACACAGGTACACACACACATACATAGACACACACCCAGACACAAATGCACACAGATGCACACACAGACACAGCCACACAGACACAAACACACAGATGCACACATGAACACACACACACACACACAGACACGCAGATGCACACAAAGACACACATAGACATACACACACACACCAACAGACATACACATACAGACACAGACACACACAGATGCATACATAGACACACACACAGACCTACACAAAGACACACACACACACACAGACATACATACACACAAACACACATATATCCCCTCTACTTTCAGTCCAGGTTGATGGTGTGAGGCAGGGAACAGGCCCTGGAACACACACAAACATCACACTCGCCATACCTGCACTCAGCCTTGCACAAGTCGGCAGGAGAGATGGCAGTCCCGGTTCTCACTCTGAGCTCGAACAGAGAACCCACCATTCTTCCAAAGCAGCTGGGTACTGTGCTTCAGGTACCCAATTTTCTCTCGCTTTACTTTCACAGCCCCACTTCACATCGTCTGATCTCTCTACCCTTGATTCTTCCAACAAATAACTATTGAGCCCTGGGCTTTGCAGATGAGTAAGATGCAGCTGAGGCCAGCAAAAAGTGAAGTCCAGGGCTGCGGCCTCACTGCAGCTGCCAGGGATCCAGGATGTCAGCTGTCTACATCTCGTTACTTAAGAGGGTCTAGTTTTAAGGCCAGATGTCTGACTGCTGCTGAGCAAAAGGTCTGTAATTCTAGTCTAGTGGCTGCTGCAGGGGAGCTGGCACTTTTTGTGTTTCTCCTGAGTGGACCAGATCTAAATCCCCAAAGGCAGGACAAAGTGAAGGCCAAGGCAGCTTGCCACGGGGCTCCCTGACCTGGTCCAGATCTTCTTTCTCTATAGCCCCTATTTCCTCCAGAGCCATGGAAGGGTTGCCTAGTCTTTGCCACACATGCACCAAGCACCTGAGCACTCAGAGTACCTAAGACTTTTCTGAGGCTCACTGTACTGTTCCCTGTCTTCACACAATTCTTGTCTGTCTCCTGGGAAGGGGCCACATTATAGAGGATGGGTGAGTTCCAGAGACTTCCTAGAGCCTTACTAGGAGCTGTGCCCAGAGGACACAGACTTTTGATGGCTGCGGATTTCCAACAGGGGACATACAAAGAAATGCCCCAAAGACCGGGCAGAGCTTGGCGCAAGGTCTAGACATGTCCTCTAGACCTTGAGCCCGCGGCTCACACACCTTGCAATCTCTAGTGCCCAGCGGGGTCCAGCACACAGGGTGGCTGAGATGTATCTGTTCCCTCAAGGAAGGGCCTCATCACCTGGCATCCTGTGGTCTGTGCTGGCCACCACGCATCTGTATCCCCACCTGAACCTCTTCCACCACTTTCCTGGGGGAGGCAGGGCCACGTCCCCACTAGCTCCCCACTTGACTTACCTTGCTTCTCAAACTCCTCAAACAGGGTCAGGCTGGTGATGCTGGGCCCGGTGAAGATGATGTAGTTCTTGCCTGCCGCGTTCCGGCACAGGCTCCTGGCCACCATGCTGTGGAGCTGGGGCTTATTCTTCAGCGCGTCCAGGCCATCTGGGCCCCCGCCTTCCTTCAGGTGGACATAAATCTTTAATAGAAACAGACAGAGGTTAGCGTGCTCACAGCAGGGTCAGGCTGGGAGCCTGAGTATTCAGCAAGCATGGGTCTCCCGGGTCTCAGTTATCAGGCTGGGAGCCCGTGGAAAAGCCATCATCTTTTCAGCTCACAGGGGCTCTAGGTCACCCCCAAGCACACCCCGTGGCCTTGACGACTGGTGACTCAGCGCCAGATGCTTCAGTTTGGAAAGGTCAAGGCGGAGGAGGAAAAGAACAAGCAGCTGCGGGTAATGGGACTGTGCAAACACATTCCCCAGCTTTCAAACACAGGAATGATTTAAATTCACTATAAATAAAGTTAAAGGCAATCTCACCTGTTAGGAATACATGTATCTGTGTACTTTCCATTTGAATACAGCTTTTTAATTGACAAGGTATGTTCATAATGACTGTTTAATTTGTTCTTTACAGTGACCCCCATCAGGCAGGCAGAAGAGGTTGATTCCCCTCACGGTGCAGAGGAGACAGGACTGAGGGCTAAACATTTGCCCATGAGTCCAGGACCAACAAAGAGGATGTGTGCGAGCAATTTGTAAACGTTGTTTCATGCTGCCTCCATGAACATCATCAAAGGGGTAGAGGCAGGAAAGTTAATGGATTGAAGAAGAGCATGTTCAAAAAATCCTCCAGTACAGGTGCAAGAAATGTGACTTAGCGAGAATATCTTAAACAAACAAACACAACACAACACAACATAAAATGTGGTGTTGGATGACAGTAAGTCACTACAAACCAGAACTGCTTGAGAAGTTCGATGGATCTGAACCTGCCACAGATTATTTATACATTAACACACACAGCTACATGTTGCCTGTGGTTTCTATACAGATATCTACACTCAAATTTTTAAATGCTGTGTATTGTTTTTTTAATTGCTGCATCACAAATGACCACAAACTCAGTGGCTTCAACAGCGTCTATTTATGAGCTCATAGTTCTGTAGGCTGGAGGTCTGAGCAGGGCATGGCTGGCTTTTCTGCTCAGGGCAGCACAAGGCTGCAATCAAAATGTTGACTGGTGGGTTCTCATCTGGTGCTTGGGATCTGCATTCAGGTTGTTTCCTTATGGCTGCAGGACTGAGGTCCTGTGTCCCCGCTGGCCATCAGCCAGGGACTGCTCTCAGCTCCTGGGGGCAATAGGTAGTCCTTGCCACGGGACCTTTTCCATTGTCAAAGCCAGCAATGATTGGCCAGGCATGGCGGCTCACACCTGTAATCCCAGCACTTTGGGAGGCTGAGGCAGGTGATCACCTGAGGTCAGGAGTTCGAAATCAGCCTGACCAACATAGTGAAACCCTGTCTTAAAATTGCAAAAAATTAGCAAAAAATTAGCCAGGTGTGGTGGCAGGCGCCTGGAATCCCAGTTATGTGGAAGGCTGAGGCAGGAGAATCACTTGAACCCAGGAGGCGGAGGTTGCAGTGAGCCAAGATCGTGCCATTGCACTCCAGCCTAGGCGACAAGAGTGAAACTCCGTCTCAAAAAAAAAAAAAAAAAAAGCAAGCCAGCAATGGGGACTCTTCCTGAAGCTGCATCCCTCTTGTGCTTTCTGTTAGGAAGAGCCTGGTTCCTTTTCAGGGCTTACTTGGTTAGGTTGGGCCCATGCAGGATAATTTCTTGTTAACAGATTTAGGACCATAATACATTTGCAAAATCCAAATTCCTTCTCATCAACACCTACATTAGTGTTTGAGCGAATAATGGGGAAGTGTGTGCACACCAGGGGCAGGAAGCCTGTGAGTATCTTAGAGTTCTAACACACTGGGGCACACTGCTTCCACACCAGGCACTTCTATGCAGCTGAAGAACTACAATGTGATAGCTGAGAAATGGACTGCTTCCCCACCTTATTGAAACCAGCAGAGCGGTTTCAATTATTCCCTGGGAAACAGACTGATTCAATGTACTTTCATGAAGACCAACAGTGAACGACATCTTCCCCGTCCAAACACTCAGCGTCAGTGAGGATGTGGGGGAAATGAGCACTGTGGTGACTTGGTATAAATACATGTAAACTTTCTGGAGGGAAATTTTGCCCATGAATCAAAGACCTTGAAGCATGGCTGTTATGGAAAACAGTACGGAAGTTCCTCAAAAAATTAAAAATAGAAAAACCATAGGATCCAGTAACCTGGATACTGTTATGGAAAACAGTATGGAAGTTCCTCAAAAAATTAAAAATAGAAAAACCATAGGATCCAGTAATCTTACTTCTGGGTACACACCCAAAGGAACTGAAATCAGGATCCTCTAAGAGATACCTGCACTCTCACATTCACTGCTGCGTTATTCACAATTGCCAAGATATGGAAACACAAGTGTCCATCAGTGGATAAGTGGATAAACGAAACGTGGCATATACACAAGATGAAATACTATTCGGCCTTTAAAAAGGAGGAAATCTTGCCATTTGCAATGACATGGACCTGGAGGACATTAAGCTAAGTGAAATAAGCCAAGCACAGGAAGAGAAATACTGTATGATCCCACTTACATGTGAACTTCCAGTTGAACTAATAGGAGAGAGTGGAATGGTGATTACCAGGGGCTGGGGGATGGAAGTGGGAGTGGGGAGGTATTGGTCAAAGAATTCAAAATCTGTTAGATAGAAGGAATAAGTTCAAGAGAACTATGGTATCACATATTGACTACAGTTAATAACAACATATTCTTAGAAATTGCCAAGACGGTTGATTTTAAGTGTTCTCACCACAAAAAATGGTAACTATCTGGTGTAATGTATATGTTAATTGGCTCGATTTGGCCATTTCAGTGCCTACATATTTCAAAGTATATTGTACACAATAAAGATATACCATTTTTATTTGTTAATTTAAAAATAAATCTTGTAAAAACCTTAAAAATATTCATGCTATTTTACTCATGAGTTTCACTTTCAGGAATTCAATCCAAGGTAACAATCAGAAATGTGTTAAAAGGATTTATATATAAAATACCGTGTCCATTTCAGGGTTTTTTATAATGGTAAAAAAAATTAACAATGACCTAATTATCTTACATGAAAAGGAGACTGGTTAAAATTATATATGTAGGTATAATGGAATGTGGTACACTTTAAAAAATTGTCATGTAGAAAAAATATTTAATAACATAGAAAATGTTCACAGTATCATTGCAAGTAAAGTAGCCAGATTATAAAACAGTGCAAGTGTGTGTTTATGTGTGTGTTTATACAGAAATGTTGACTATACACTCAAACAGCTATTTCTGTATAAAAAGTATTTATCAGAATGACAGCTATGCTGGACTTTTAACATTTTTGATGTTAAATATGTAATACAAACCTAATCAGAAAAAGACCCACTAAAAATAATTATAAAATAACTTCCTTATCAGGATTACTCAAGCATAGGAGTATTCGGAATTTGCAGTGTCTGTAGGGTCTGAGTGAATGGTTATTCATCATTTCCACACCTGGAGATGATGATGACTCTGAGAATCAGGGCAGCCTCTTGCTGTCTTGGAATTAACATATTTTCCTAAATGCCAGTGATGTGCAGCTGAGATTTTACAACTCCTGGGTAGGATACGGAAGGCAGCACTGTTGCAGGACTGTCTTGAAATTACTCAGCCTCGTGTCTACACATGCACCTCTGAAAACTGCCATTTTTCCAGACTCCAGCCAGTCTCTTCTGAAGAAGTAGACACTCAACTGGGATGTCACAGGAGAAGGGGACAGGCACTGAGCCAAAGGCACTGAGGCAAAGGAGACAGGCGCTGAGCCAAAGGTCAAAGATTTCTTATTAGGAAATCTGGAAGAAGGATACAGCCAAAAAGTGGCACCAATGAGAGTCCAAAGAGAGTCCCAAATGTGTGGCACTCATTGCTATAAAATAATGAGTTTCTAAAAGTGAACATAAAGTAGGACCTTCATTTAAATAAATACAAAAGATGGTAACCTTCAAAGTCTCAGTTGAGGGCATGATTTAGAAAAAAACTGTTGGCAAGGTAGTCAAAATCTGGCCAGGAAAAGGCTCAGTCCAAGAGGTCCTGCTGGGTCTGACAGTCAGACAGGTCTGGTACCCGACTGGTCCTGGTTTGCTGACACAATAACGTCAGTGGTCAAAGGCAGTAACTTGTTTCCCTTAGTTGGATGAGCAACCTCCAACGAAGTCTTATCCCATCCATGCCCCCTGTTGCTACAAATGCTTAAGCTACACAAGCTATGCTAATGATTGCGTCCAGGTTTAAGAGACTATCCTAAGGAATCCTGCCAGTAATCTGAGACACAGCAAAATCACTGGGAACCCACACATGTATTCAGACGCTGGGTTGGGTACTTTCTACAAGAGCTCCCCAGACACAACACGGAAGGAAATACCATTCACTTAGATGTGTGACTACTTCCTGGTCTGCTTTTCAAAAAGTCAGATATCTCCCTAGACATTTCTAGAGAAAGCATTACCATACTAATATGGTTCCACCAAATGTGTAGACATAGATGACTTCCCATCACTGGGCAAAATGCAGCCAGCCACAGACACTTCTGAGCTACAAGACTGTTTGACAAGTATCTCTAGGGCAGGAAAATGTACCATTTGGTGGTTGCCAAACTTTTCACTTTTCCTAAAAAGTTTTGTTTTGCTCCTATGATTTATTAATTTTTAAATGCATATATTTAGGAAAGTAGGCATGAAAGTTTATTACTATATGGCATTATACTTTGCCCCAGACTAGTATTCCCAATGTTGCATACTTTATACTGACATTACAACAAAAAGGATCTTAGGAAATATGGATTATAGCAGTTAATACCCTGGGGGACACATACAGCACATGGCATTTATCTTAGCTCTCCTGAAATGCCCCCACGACCTCCAGAGGCAGGATCCAGTTCATCTTTTCCCTCAACTTCTCAAAAGAACAGTAAGGCTAGTGGCAGTAGCTGCTGACTCCCCAGCTGATAGTTTCACTAAGCTGTCGCTGGGATCGGGGGGCACCCTCCTGCCTCTCC